CCCCCGGGTGTGGTCTATTTACTCCAATATGTTTTACAGGAATCGAGAAAGAGAGAGAAGGAAGATCGAAGGTTGAATGATCTAGAAGCGAATATTCTCCCGTGAGATTATTTGCACAAACAATGCGTCCCTAGATTTATTGACTCAATTCATACGTAATTCACTTTACCAAAAAAGAAGTAAAAGAAGCATAATTGCAGCTTTAAACAAAGAACGCCAACAAGCAACTAGTTTGTATCAACATCAAGTTGCCCTCATCTCATCTCAACTTGCAAGAAAGCCAAAGCCCGAGTTTACCAGAGTCTGGGAACACCTGAGCAGAGTCCAGATAAGTCCAGATCATTTTGCCCTGATTGGCAACGACCTCAAAAATAAAGTAAATTAAAAGAGAAACGTCTAATTAGCACGGAAACCTATAGCAACTGAAATATTTGACAGACGCTCGTTTTGTTAAGTGACAACTAAGATCAATTGGAAAAACAACATTATTGCTACTTCCAAGCAAAATAATCACATGCTTTGTAGTGACTGTGTGGAGCCTGGAGAGAGGTTGTCAAGATAATAAATACAATAAAATCTCCAAAAAAATATTCCAATGTGTCTCAGTCTCCATTTTTCATTTATTTAAAGTTGTCAATTACTTTTGCAAATATCCAACTGCGAGCTCTGTTCCTTGTGCAATTTTTTTATTGTGGTTGGCAAAACTAGGGAACCCAAGTTGCTTTGCTTCCAAGGGAAAACACCAGACAGAGAACAAAATGGCTTAAGCATCCTTTGGCTCCTGATTCTTGGATAGTAACCGCTTCCGCTCCCAATCCTTCCACCTCTTTGGCGACGTAAAACCGTTTTTTAACTGCCTTCTAATCGTTTCGCAAATCACAAACGTGTGATGTTTTTTTCTTAAGAAAGATTAAATTTTTCAATCCAATTCAAAACTCCAACGTTTAAAAATTGAAACTTGAAGAAGAAAGAGACCCTCCACCTTTAGTCCGTCTTAGTCGTTTGGTGCCAGAAGAAGAGTAAATCTATGATTTTGAGTAAGTTTCTGATATGGGTTTGCGGCATATTCACTTGTCGTGTACCTGCGTTGTGTAGTTTCTGGTTTTCTGCTCTTTATGCCACTAAAAACGAGATTTTTACTGTTTGCAGGCTGAATTCGAGTTGAATATGAGGTGGGTTTGTTTCTATTGACTTTGGGAGATCTGGTTGGGCGAGGAGTCTGAGTTCTAAGAAGTAAGGAGGGAGATATGGAACCCCCAAAGGGGGTGTTGGCTTCTTTGTGGAACTTTATCTGTTTTCTACCTTACTTCATTGGCCTTCTCCTTCTTGGCAACTTTAAAGGTAAATATCAGTTTTGTCCTTTGTTTCCTTTTTCTTGTGCTAGTTGGTATTTCTGGTTAACTCAAAACTGATTATGTGGTTATATTAGGTTCTAATTTCTGATGGGAAATTGATAATATTTTGGAAACAAGGATTCTATTGTTTTTACAAAACAGTTTAGGACACAATACTGTCATTCCATAATTTTATTTGTGCTTAATGTAACCTCTCCATCTGGCGTTGAACCTGTGATCCAATAAAACACTTTCATTTCCCATTTGCCGAATTATTGTTTTCTGCTGATGCCGGGCCTGGCAGTGGTTTGGTTTTCTTTTGCAGAACATTTCTATCTTTATTACCATGTCTGAAGAGATAAGATTTCATCCACTATGTACAATAACAAGTCTGTGCCTCGAGTATCATTTTTGAATTTTGCTTGCTTGCTATCTTGAAATGGGTTGTTAACGTTGTAACTAGGAGTGGATTGTTTAGTTAAGACACATTGCTTGAAGGAGTATGACTTAAGGAAAACACGTGTCAAATCTAACATCACAGTATTATTTCAGGTATTCTGTTCCTCTCTCGCTCTCTCTCTCTCTCTCTCTCTCTCTCTCTCTCTCTCTCTCTCCGGCTACTTTGGGAGGAGGGGTTGGGAATCTCGTTCTCATGTTGTGTTAAAGCAACAAAAGAATAAACCGTTCTTGTGATTCTTCTTTTTTAATTATTTATGTATTCGTTTTGTAAAATGAGCAGAGCTAAACGATATGGGCCAGCTCTGAAGATTGTTGTCTGCATATTTGTACTCCCCGTCCAATTGATCTCGTGGCCAGTCGTTGGAATTGTTGGAAGTATTGTGGGTGGAGCAGCATATGGCTTTCTTTCACCAGTAATGGAAACTTTTCAAGCTGTTGGAGAAGGGAAGACCAATCAATTGTATCACTGCTTTTACGTATGTCTTCAATTTTCAAGTTGGTTATAAATCATCTCATAGGGTTTAGAGAGTTACAGATATCAGAGATAGAGAGAGATTATAGAGAGAGAGAGAGTGAGACCAAAAACGTTTTTGCAATGAGTGAAGCATCAGCGGTGGAGATCCCAACTGAGTTGGCGGAGGAGGAGATAGCGGAGGTCTCGGCAGCAGAGGACCTACCAGTGCCGGTCTCGGCGAAGAATCAGACATTAGAGAGGTTGTTTTTTTCTTCTCATGTTTCTAATATTAATTATTAAATAATTGAGTTTTTATTTTTTATTTTATTGCTTCTATTAGTTGTTTTCAAATCTAGGTATCTGTTTGCTTGCTGATTGATTCTCTGATTTATTTCCGAAATCATAATCTGGTCGAGTTAAGCAATTCAAAAGTTGTAAGGTGCCTTGTATGATTCCTTTTTTATTCTTTCATGTTTTACCTAAATGGCGTCTTGTTTTCAAATCTAGGTATATTCAAAAGTTGGAAGGTGCCTTGTATGATTCCTTTTTGATTCTTTCATGTTTGACCTAAATGGCGTCTTGTTTTCAAATCTAGGTATCTGTTTGCTTGCTGATTGATTCTCTGATTTATTTCTGCTGATTGATTCTCTGGTTTATTTCTGAAAGCATAATCTGGTCTAGGTATCTGTTTGCTTGCTGATTGATTCTCAAGCATAATCTGGTCTAGGTATCTGTTTGCTTGCTGATTGATTCTCAAGCATAATCTGGTCTAGGTATCTGTTTGCTTGCTGATTGATTCTCAAGCATAATCTGGTCTAGGTATCTGTTTGCTTGCTGATTTATTTCTGAAAGCATAATCTGGTCGAGTGTTTTCAATATTAAGCAACCATGCTTCAAAAGTTACAAGGTGCCTTGTATGTTTCCTTTTTGCTTCTTTTATGTTTAACCTAAATGGCATCTGATTCTGGGGGCTGTGCCAGTAGTAGTGAATAATAGTTGCTTTTTATTATTATTTATGTTTCTGTTTTCAATTATTAGATAATCGATTCTAATTATGCTTAAAATATTAAATTGAAGTGAGCATATTCCTGATGAGCTGAAAGCTGAAGAGTCATCTGAGATTGAAAGTCCCCCTGAGAGGTCCCTTGAAGACATCTTGGAGGAGCACTCTGCCTCTGCCAGGGGCAGAGTGCATGGCAGTGACAGCTTCACTGCTATGAAGTTGAAGCTGGAGGCAATGATTTACCCCAGCATGACGATTGGGAATTCTGTCCTGATGCGTTTTTTAAATCCGCATCCTCTCCCAGGGTTGGCCGAGTTTACTGAGTTCCTGGAAGCCTGCACCGCTGTCTTCTCACACTGTGAGATTGAAGCTGCTGACTTTGTTCAGCTCCACAGTCCAGGAATTGGTCCCATTAAATTTTCCGGTTGAGGAAGAGTGAAGATCTAGTTGAGAGGGCTTGAGTATTTTGTGGAAGGGGGAAGATCAACTTTAAGGTCTATTTGTTGTTTCAATGTAATGACTATTCCATTATGGAACGTATTTTGTTTGCTTCTTGTTTCCGTTTATGACTTTCTATTATGGAACCTCTTTGAAAAGTTGTTTGGATTCCTCTTAACGGTTCTGACTTATTGGCCCTATTGCTGATTAGGGTCTCAGAGATTATAGTAATCGTGTTGAATATGGGGCCTGAAAAATGCTTCCCTATTGCATAAACATGCACAGTGGGGAAAGACTAAGGGATGCATAAAAGAAATTAAGGCCTAACAAAAACATCTGGTAGCACAAAATGGATACAATTCGAAACTTATACAATTGTGCTGGAACTCCTAATTGCCGAAATCAAAATGTCATTTTTGGGCCAGAAACGATGCGTGCTTGAAAACCCCAGAAATGAAATTATTAGACCAAATCATAAAGGGCCCGAAAATTTTCGGCATGCTTTCTTAACTTACAGGCCCACCCAATAACGTGAAAGCATGCCCCAAGTCAGCTTGGGTTCCTTCGTTTTTGCAACCACAGTAGAAAAAAAAATATATGGATTGACATTGTAAAAATAAAAATAAAAACTTCACATGGAATGCACTTTTAAAACACATAAAAAACTCATTTACTACATAAGAAATGGGTGTTAAAGTTTTTATAAATTACATGATTGTTAATGATTAACTTAAAAAAGTGTATATTAAAATATATTGAAAGTAAAATTTAACTCCTTGCATTTTTGAAGAAAGGAAATCATTTGTATCATGTTCATCCACTATTATGTTCATACTGAATTAGAACAATCGAGGCAGGAATACACCATGTAACAGACAGTGGAACTTCTGCTACTGCAGGCAGAGGATGGCCATCCCCAACCAGATTCTCGCGTTTGAAAACAATTTTCTGAGTCATTGTAGGATAAATATATATTATATTAATAACTTTGCATAAAAATAATTATATCAAAAACCGTCTGAAATATAAAGAGAGAGAGGAATTTTACATAGGTTCCCAGTATTTGGCATGAAACTCTGTACAAACTTATAGCTTTAAAATAACTTTTCCACGGAAGCACCATTGTCAATGTGACCATGTTGTTCATTTTAGACTTCCATAAAGTTAACACCATTATTCATTTTTCAGGTCCACCAAGAAGCGCAACATCCAAATGCATCCCAGGTACAAGGTATATTTTAAAATTTTAATTTTAAGTATAGCCGTTCGGCTATGATGTTTATTTTATTTTAAGTATAGTATACCGAGCGGCTATACCATATTTTTATAAAGTATAACCGCCCGGCTGTACTCTCTCTTTTTTTCTTTTTCTTTTTTTATAATAAATATTTTTAAATTAACTGTTTGGCTTGTTAAACTTACTTTTCTCCATTTTAAAGAGAATAACAAGCAAGTATAGGAGTCAGTTTGCTTGCCTGCCCTCTCTCCTTCTCAAGTTTGGTACTGTGGTTAGTGAATTAATTTGTCTTTTGTTGATTAAAAGAAACTGAACCATGCATGAAATTGGTAGATCTATCATAGATCATCCATGTGCATATTGTTTCCTTTGACATTGCATTCTACACTCCTTTTTGAGTTAGTAGTTTGTTTGTTTTTCCTTTTCTCTTTATTGTTAAATAGGAAAGGTTCGTAAAATTGGTATAGAAGATATTGTGCCGGAATAATAATTCTATTGATTGTACAATATTCTTATACAGGGAGAACGCAAGCCTAACTAGGAAAATATACACAGCCTAACTAGGAAAAGAATTGTACAGCAATTCTAGGAAAAGTCAAACAATTACAAAGAAAGTTTTCCTATTCTAGTTGCCTTAGAATCAGGTATTGATTACTTTCCAACACTCCCCCTCAAGTTGGAGAGTGAATATCAAGAACTCCCAACTTGCCTAGCATGGATAAGAAGGGATCTTTTCCTAAGGGTTTGGTGAACATGTCTGCTAGCTGATGTGAAGAAGGTATGAACTTGGTAGAGATTGCACCATCCTGTATCTTGTCTCTGATGAAGTGACAGTCCATCTCTATATGACGAGTTCTGTCGTGAAAAACTGGATTAGCAGCAATGTGTAGTGCAGCCTTGTTGTCACAATGGAGAATAGAGTGATTTGTTGAGGCGACACACAAGATTCTCCCCCTGTCGCCGGAGACCAGGAGGAGGTGACATGTAAATTTCTTCATAGAGGTCCCCATGAAGAAAAGCATTGTTAACATCTAACTGGCTCAGGGACCAATTTTGAGCAGCGGCGATAGCAAGCAAACAACGTACAGTAATCATCTTGGCCGTGGGTGAAAAAGTATCATGATAATCAATCCCCTCAGTTTGAGTATATCCTTTGGCCACGAGGCGAGCCTTATAGCGTTCGATGGAACCGTCAGAACGGTGCTTGATTTTGTAAACCCATTTACAACCAATAGGTTGTTTGCCGGGGGGCAAAGGAGTGAGCGTCCATGTGTTGTTGGACGTTAAAAGGCCTCAAGTTCAGAGCGCATAGCTTGTTGCCAATTGGGATCTGCAGCAGCCTCTGTAAAGCAAGAAGGTTCCACACTACTACTGACAATTGCAATAAAAGAAAGATGTGAAGGTGAGCAACGATGATATGAAATAAAATTACAGAGAGGATAACGAGTACCTTTGGGCAGGATCGGCGGCGAGGAAGACGATGATGCGGGTCTGGGCATTAGGACGTGATTAAGAACATAATCTTTCTACCAAATAGGAGCTTGTTTGGAACACTCAGAGACTCTGACAGGTGGATTGGTAGAAAGATGAGGAGTAGAAAGTGGAAGAGAAGCAGGTTGTTCTGGATTTGTAAGTGCAGCAGGGGATGATGTGGTGGGGTCGGTTGTAGAAATAGGTGGGTCAGTAGGGGAAAAAGAAGAATGGTTGGCTGGAGGGTTAGGCGTGGCTGGAGAGATGGGATCATCTTGGCTTGAAAGTGTGAAGTTGTGCTCAGGGGAAGAGGTTGGGTTGGTTGGAGGAAAGGTATGCGGGCCCAAGGTTGGATGACATGGATCAAGGTCTGCGATGTGTGGTGTGCGTAGGACATGTAATTGGTCTAATGGTGTGGTTGGGCTGAGAGTGTGGAAAGGAAAATGGTGCTCAAAAAAGTTAACATCCCTATTGATGAAAATTTTGTGGGTGGTGAGATCATACAACTTGTAAGCTTTTTGCCCACTAAGATACCCCAAAAAAATGCTTTTCTTGGCACGAGTATCAAATTTGGAGGTGGGATGATTATTGGTGGCAAAAGCAAGACACCCAAAGACTCTCATATGTTTATAGGAATGTGGTTTGCCATATAATTTTTCAAAAAGAGTTTGGTGGGCCAATAGTTTGGTGGGAATTCGGTTAATGATATGAGCAGCGGTAAGCACTCCTTCGCCCCAAAAACGAAGGGGAAGGTGGGCTTGAAAAAGTAAAGCCCGTGCCATTTCAATGAGATGGCGATGTTTGCATTCTACGACCCCATTTTGTTGGGGGGTGTAAACACAAGATCGTTGGTAAATGACCCCATGATTTGTGAAAAAATTGCGAAGAGAATAAAATTCTCCCCCATTGTCCACACGTATCTGTTTGATTTTGGTGTTGAACTGTGTTTGGGTATAGGCAAAAAAGGATCGAAGGTGCTCTTGTGTTTCACTTTTATTGTGCATGAGAAAAATCCATGTAAACCTTGTAAAATCATCCACTACAGTCAAAAAATAGTGTGCCCCGGATAAAGAGGCTATTTTATGTGGACCCCAAATATCACAGTGAATGAGTGCGAAAGGGTATGAGGAGGTGATGGAACTATTAGTAAATGGGAGTCGTGTCTGTTTGGCCAATGGACAAATATCACAAATATTATTTGAAGAACAAGGGAAATTTAACAATGTTTTGGACATAAATTTAAGCGAGCTGAAGATAGGTGACCCAAACTGCGATGCCATAAATCTGCGGAAGCTGAAGCCAAATGACAAGATGGATCAGATTTATTTGGAGAGGAGTTTGGAGAAGCCAATGCTACTAAATAGTACAAGCCTCCACGTCGCTTACCCAGACCAATCGTCCTCCTCGTAGCCAAATCCTGCAAAACACACCATTGTGGAAAGAAAGTTACTGAACAGGTTAAATCCTCTGTAATCTTACTCACAGACATCAAGTCAACTTTGAATGTGGGAACCCCCAACACATCTTTCAAAAATAAATATGAATTTATTGGCAAAGTGCCAGTAGCAGTAATTGGAGCCTGGTCTCCACCTGGTAACTTTACGGGTGGCATGGTGGAATGCTTCACATTTGTGAGCAAATGAGGGGAAGATGTGATATGATCCCTCGCCCCGCTGTCAATCATCCAATTAAGTGTTGTAGAGCAATTTTTAAACAAACCTGAACTGGCAATATTTGCTTGGGAATCAGGCTGTGAATCACTTTCCTTCTCTTTAAGGACTGAACATATTTGCTTATATTATTGATTGGTGAGGTTGGGCATCACGGCTTTCACATCATAAAAACTAGGATTTGCATCCACATGGTTTGCTGAAGAAGATTTGTTGCGGCCCCCACCTCCTTTTGAGTTGTGATTGCCTCCTCCTGATTTGTGTAGTCTATGCCATGAAGGATAGCCATGCAATTTCCAACAGGTTTCAACAACATGGTTTGTGTCCCCACAATGAGAACAAAGCAGCGATTGTTGACTGAAACTGGAGTTGTTTAGCAACTGATTGGGCCTGGACTGCTGATGTTGTTGGCTGATGTTAGGCCGTTGATTATTGTTGGCCCGTTGTTGTTGCTGACTGGATCGCACCACCATCGCTGCACTTTCAGCTACAACCCGTGCAGAACCTAATTCTCTCTGTTTTTCCTCTTGCGAAACCAACGCATATGCTCTACGAAGGCTTGGTAAAGGATTCATGAGTAAAATCTGCCCCCTTACCGCACTATAGGATTCATTTAAACCCATCAGGAATTGCATGAGGGCATTGCGTTCCTCTTTTTCATGATGCTTCTTCATAGCACCACATGAACATGTCGGCGAATCGTTGTAGGAAGCCAATTCATCCCACAACCCCTTCATCTTGGTGAAATAGCCAGCGACAGACATTTGCCCTTAATGGAGGGAAGCAATATCTCGTTGTAGTTGGAAAATCCTTGGTGCGTTGCTTTGAGAAAATCGCTCCTTCAGGTCCTCCCAAATCTCATGTGCCGTTGTCGAGTAGATGACGCTATCGGCGATCTCAGGTTCAATGGAATTAAGGATCCATGAGAGCACCATATCGTTACACTGTAACCAGCGAGAATAATGATCTGGATTGCTCTTCTCGGACGGTATTTGCACGGTCCCTTCAACGAACCCTAGCTTATTTTTTGCGCCAAGGGATAAGCGAATTGACCGGCACCACGTTGTGTAATTATCTCCATTAAGGAGTTTGGGAACAAGTACCATGCCCGGATGGTCACTGTGATGAACAAAAAAAGGATTGTTGGCATCATTTGCACCACCATCCTTGGAGGCACCATAACCTCCATCTCTCTTCGTAGGCTTGCTCTGCTCATCGTCTCCCATGGAGAAGTTGCGAAACAAGAAAAATTATCTAAATTGCTGCTTAAAGAGAACGGCAAAAGAAAAAACACAAGAGCTAGGGTTTCTCCTGCTCTGATACCATGTAAAATTGGTATAGAGGATATTGTGCCGGAATAATAATTCTATTGATTGTACAATATTCTTATACGGGGAGAACGCAAGCCTAACTAGGAAAATATACACAGCCTAACTAGGAAAAGAATTGTACAGCAATTCTAGGAAAAGTCAAACAATTACAAAGAAAGTTTTCCTATCCTAGTTGCCTTAGAATCAGGTATTGATTACTTTCCAACAAGGTTTCTTAATTGAATGATTACACCAGGCAGCAGTGCTTTTCAGAAGCCTCAACTCGGTGACCAGCTGATCTGCTCTCTTCATTCACCACAATTAAGACAGTCATGACTAATATATATGATGGCCTTGCCGAAGTTCTTCTCGTACTTCTGAAAAATGCAGACACCCGTGAGAATGTTCTTGAGTATCTTGCAGAGGTGATCAATAAAAACTCATCAAGGGCTCATATTCAGGTATTTCCTTTGATCATTTGAGGTGAAAATAATGATGTCGCTTGTGACAAGATTGTGACTATGGCCAGTAAAACTACAAGCCAAACAATTATTTATTTTTTGGTCTTGCCTGAAACCTTTTCCTAGTGATTTATCTCTTGTCAATTTTTAGTGAGAATTTTTTTGGACTCGTATGTTATAAACATTTACTCATTTGTAACTATGGTCAGGTAGATCCTCTTTCACGTGCAAGTTCAGGCATGTTTGTCAATCTCAGTGCTGTCATGCTTCGTCTCAGTGAGAGCCGTTTTCAGATGCAAACTTAACAAAAAGGGACAAAATGGATCCAAAATATGTATTTTACAGTAACCGTCTGGAGTTAAGGGGAGGACTTTTTGATTAGCGGAAATATATTTTCTCTTCTGATCTCTTGTCAAGATTTTGCAAATGCTAACCATTGTTTATGGCCTATATTAGAGGGTTGACTACGCTACATGCATCATCTGAAGAAGTTACTGAATGGATTAACAAAGATAATATGGGGAATCCTGATGACTCTAGACACAATGGTGATGGTGAAAATCGCCTTTTACAATCTCAAGAAGCCACCAGTTCTGGAAATAGTGTCAACGTGAACCCAAGCAATGAAAAAGCTAAATATTCATTTATTTGTGAATGCTTCTTCATGACTGCAAGGGTGCTCAATCTGGGTTTGCTTAGTAACATCTTACTGCGTGCTATTTCATGATTTAGGCAATTGGTGTACTTCATGAACTTTGTTTTTCTTTACAAATTGTTATATGTAAATGATGGGTGGAAAACTTATATGTTAAAAATACTTAATCCAGGATATTTCAAGGTCTGAAGACACTCTACTCTCTCCACACTCAAAGACATGCAAGGCCAGTACAATTAGAGATGGATATAGCTCGCCTTGAGAAAGAAATGGAGTTGTATTCACAGGAAAAGCTTTGTTAATTATGAAGCTCAGATACTAAGGGTATGTCCGAACTCTGTGAGCTCATTTGTGTTTGTGTGTGTGTGCATGTGCATATTGTGGGGTCATACACTTTTTTTTAAGTTCTTGTGAGGTTATACGTGGTTTCCCTAACCTTTTAGACTTAACCTTGTCTTTATTTTCGAACGGGTGTTGAGGCATGGAGACCTATTAAGTGCTAATCATATTATAGTTGACTGATGGTTGGGTGTCCATTCTAGTCCTCGACATTTGCATTGTTTTTAAGGAAGCCTTTCTATGGTGGTTCTAGGCTCAAGTTTAATGAAAGGATAAAAAATGCTTTCATCAATAAAATGTATCATATGCACTTTATTCATCTGATGTGTATGTTGGTTATTACTTTTTAGTAGCCTTATTTTGATTTCCATTACAGATCGTTAAGTCTGATTCTTGTCTTCAGGATGCTACACTTATACAGAGTGCTTTTTCTTTCTATCGATTGATGGTGGTGTGGCTAGTTTGCTTGTTTGGCGGATTTAAAATGCCTCTGCCCTCAACTTGCCCTACGGAGTTTGCTCCTATGCCAGAGCATTTTGTGGAAGATGCCATGGAATTGCTTATATTTGCGCCCCGGATTCCCAAAGCTTTGGATGGGGTCTTATTGGTAGGATTGTTACACTTATCCAAAAATATTCCCTTCATACTTCCCATAGGCTTTATCTTCTTCTTCTTCTTCTTCTTCTTCTTCTTCTTTTTTTTTTCCTGTGCAGGATGATTTTATGAATTACATTATAATGTCCATGGCAAGTCCAGAATATATCAGGAACCCTTATCTAAGAGCAAAGATGGTTGAGGTCCTGAACTGCTGGATGCCTTGCAGAAGGTGGTTTAATGTCTCCATTTTTTATCTCATCCTTTGATTTTGAAATGACAATTAGGCATTTATTTTTGCATTGCATCTGCAGTGGATCATCTGTTACGAAGGCATCAACTGTCTCTTGAGTATCTTGTGAGGAATCTCTTGAAGCTATATGTCGACATCGAGTTCACTGGTTCCAGATTGCTAGGGAAGAGGAGAAGCGTGTTTACTTGAATTTCTTAAACTCCTTGATCAATGATAGCATCTATCTTCTGGATGAAATTCTTAGCAAAATTCTTGAACTCAAACAACTAGAAGCTGAGATGTCAAACACTGCAGAATGGGAACGCAACCCTGCTCAAGAGAGGCAGGAGAGGACCCGCCTATTCCATTCTCAAGAGAATGTCAGTTTCATCTTCCCTCAGCCCAAACAACAACCACCGCATTGTTATTTTCATGAATTAAGAGTAGCTAACCAAATGAATACTTGTGTTTCAAGATTATCCGAATTGATATGAAGTTAGCAAATGAGGATGTGAGTATGCTGGCATTTACTACAGAAGAGATTACAGCTCCTTTCCTACTTCTATGCAATTATTGTTATTCTGGTTTCTAGTTGTTTTCCAAGAATATCATTATGTTTGAATGGAAGCAAACGGATGTCATTGGATACTTCTCCAGTTGTTTAGTGCTGCAGCGGATGTCCTAAGGAGAATTGGAGAAGATGGGAGGGTCATACAGGAATTTATTGAGCTTGGTGCCAAAGCCAAAGTCGCTGCTTCTGAGGCCATGGACACTGAAGCTGCTCTCGGGGACACACCAGATGAATTCCTTGATCCAATTCAAGTATGTTTTTTGTGTTTGTGGGTAGGTAGATAGGTTGGAACGCGGCTTTGATTATAAATATTTTCAGACCAAAAAAAAAGATTATAAATATTTGAATTTCCTTTCTTGCAGTACACTTTCATGAAGGATCCAGTTATCTTGCCTTCTTCAAGAATCACGGTAGACCGACCTGTCATCCAAAGGCATCTTCTTAGCGATAATGGACATCATCAACACTGCTAATTAATCTTGATCTTATGAAATGTATCTCCTATTGTGTGCTAATTTATGTACTTCATGTGATTTGCAGTCGGATCCGTTCAACTGCTCCCATCTAACGGCGGACATGCTATACCAGCAATGAATTGAAGGGAAGAATACAAGAGTACATTAGGTCCCAAGAATTGAAGATGCGCGGGGAAGACCTAAGCATGCAGAGCAGCAAGGTAACCAGACAGACCACAACTAGCGAAATGCTAATTGATTAGGAGGATATAAGGTTAATATAATAGGGGATGATTAAGATTTATAGCCTTTGGTGGAAAGTAACAGTGGAGGAATTCTCCAATAGGTTATTCTAACTTTAATATATTATAATATTTTATTTAGCCCGCCAATGATCATATATAATGTTCTACTTGTCTTGTAGATAAAACGATGACTTATTCTTGATGCTCCGTTTGGTTAGCGGAAAAGATTTGATCGGAAATTATTTTTTCATGGATTTTTCTAAGGGTTGGAGAATGGAAGATTATTTTTACATGTTTGGTAATGCTGGGAGACTAACTAGAAAATATCAAGTTTAAGACTGGGCCGAACCAACCCAGCCTGATGATGAATCCTAATGCATAATGTCCATACCAATAAAGCCCCTATAAAATAAAAAGATGAAAATTTAAATAGTTTAAAAAGCAATAAACATTAAAGAAAATTCATTCGCTAAAGTGGTGGACACATATGGGGAGGGATAAGGGTTTGGGGTTTAGAGATATGCAAGCTTTTTACCAAGTAGAAACCTTATTGGTGATCGATATGTGCTCGCATATTAACTCGATAGATTCAGTCATAAATTTAATCGCTAAAATCTCTTCATTGAACAAGGTACATTCAACCTGTGCAGTTTCCATCCATGAACTTGATAGCCTGGATCCATTCCACAGACCACACCTCAATAGCCTGAACACGTAACATAACATAAGAATCATACAACAGAAGTAAGCAGGAAAGGAGAAAAATAATCAATGAAGCACATAAATCCAGTTCCGCTCATTCCATGATGATTCATAGAAAATCTAGGGGATAAAAGTTATTACAACACAAACCACACGCACCTGTTACTGCTAGAACAGCTTTTAGAGAGCAAATCCTTCAAGAACACAGAGAAGTATAGCCAAACTTAAGACAAAGAGATGTGTCCAATTAGCATTCACTCAGGCCGATTAGCACAACGTTTAACATTTTAGTTTCCTACGTATTGAATCTAAGCAGAGATCGATGATGTGTGTCTATAAGAATTAACAAGCGATCACTGAGAGGGAGACTGGGTATGATCATCTGGGCAGGGCATATGTAAATAATAATATTTAATTTATATACGTATAGGAATAGCAAAAATAGGATCACGTTTTGACATAAAAATAAAATCATTAAAGGAAGGCCTTTAGCTGGGAAATGCATGCTTGTTATAAAATAAAAGTGACAACAGAGAGATTACATATAGCTCTCACTAATCTAGTAGTTAATTAATCTGTAGTTAGTACCACTAAACTCTGATCCCAGAGGTATAACATCGAGTTAACTACACTCAAACTCATCTGTTTTATCATTTTTAATTTATTTATTTTCTATTATATAATGCTATAATTGATCCCAATATATCGGGTTGAAGTGAATTTCTTGGATCACAATTTAGTTCTCGAGGCTGCTGCTTTTTGATTGCATTCAAAGTAATGTGCTGTTATTAAAGGTCCAACCAGATCGGTCGATCGATCAATGCCGTGGAAAACATATAAAAATATAGAATCTAACGGATACCTTGGAAATACAAAGTTATTTAGGTATAAGGTATTATTACTCATCCACTCAATATTTTCACATAGGCCTTAAGCAAGCTCATCTCCATCTCCCTGATTCTCTCTCTATCTCATACACACGTGTGTGCAGGCATATATATATATATATATTGACGCATACACTCAGGAAACTACAAAATATCCATTACTTTGAGAATGGATATGATTTTCCTTCTTAAAGATTCACAACTTCTGTAAAAGTAGTTGATAATACAAATGAAGTACCTTAATATTTGGGAGGTGTAAGACTAATAACCTTCAGTCTCAACTCCAAACTCCACTCTTCTTTCTTCTAAAGACTTTGATGATATGAGTATATGATGCTCCTGTGCACACAGCTTGCCAAGCCTCTAGAAGAGGAATACCAGGTACAATGTTCCCACATGCATGTTGATTTTATGATCCCGAAGAGAACATACTAATCAAGCCAGCTTCTGCCTAAGGAAAACCAAGGTATGTATATCATTCTGATCTATCCCCGCAAAATTTGGGGTAAATAGCTATGTTATCTCTCCCTGCAAAGAGCCCAATCAGTTCAGGCTCTGTACTAGGAGGCATTCTTTTGATCTTGTGTTAGGATTATACTCAAGATCGACAGCAACTACATAGAAAACGAGGGGGAAGAAAACAAATAAGTATTATCAGTTTTAACTTAATTCTTTTGCACGCTACAAGTTTCTTCATGATTTTGCGGTCTTTAGGAAAAGATGAAGGAATATATATAAGTCGCAGGAAAACCAAACAACCAGAAAAGAAAAGAAAAGAATGAAGAACTTTTAGACTATAATTAGGAGGACACCACCTTAGACATGAAATTATTTTGCTCGGAAAACCATATATTATTTATAATTCTTAAGATTGTTTACTTTTCTCAGGCTTAAATGCGCAAATAGTTAAACAAGACAAATCCGCTAATGCAACTTAGAAAACCAGTAGCAGTAGTACATTGTTTTCTCATTGATGAGCAGCATAATCACTAGGATAGGATATGAAAACCCTCCCCTCAAAATAAAGAAATAGAAATAACCAGGTCCGTAGCTAATACAGCAATTAATTAACTTCTTACCATATATTGTTCCAGCTGAGCATCATGGCTGCAGGTCTTCTTTCATTATTTCATGATAATCTCCTTCGTTTGGGTTTTGATGACTCGCGCACTTCCAGCGGGTATCGGCACAGGGGACACAAGTGATTGATCTGCAGCCACGGGACGATGCAATCTTCGTGAAATTGGTGTAAGCAGGGCAAGCGTTTGATCGTCCTTGGTGGATGGCGACAATCAACCCCTTGACCTTGATCTTGATCATGATGATCATCTTGAGAAGCAGGGACGGCATTAATATGATCAGAGTGATGATCATCATGATGATCAAGGAGGAGGCCCTCCATACAAATAATACATGAGGACAACGGGGCCAAAGTAGGATCATCAAGCCTCACATTCTCCAAGCCCTGAATGGATGATTGAGCTGCAGGAATAAGCATGGCCCTGTATGCTTCCGAGGATTGCCTCATAACCCTATCAAGGATGTCGTTGTTGTGGTCCGACTTCAGATAGTGATAAGTGGCATCCACAATATGCACAAGAATTGGCAACTCAAAGCTGTGGTTGTCGGCCTCTTCAGTGTAGTCAAGTATTCTTACAATGAGAGCTGGCTGCGCACCTTGTGGGACACCCATCTTGGAAAGATGATAAGCCAAGACATGCGTCCATTTAGGCCTTGATGAAAATTGCTTGACATCACGCATAGGGACATAGAAACTCCTCTCAGCAAGGAGGTGATATGTAGAAGCATAAGGAAGTTCTACT